AAGTCCGCTACAATCGAAGCAATAAATCAACGGCAACAAAAGCTGTTCCTCGAATACAGGCGAGCACCATTGACGAAGTGGAAGGTCGCGGAAAAAGGTACCCGGGGTCTGCGCCGGTCGACTTTTACACGGTCGGACCTGCGCCCGTGCATAAATCTCTACGTGGCTCGGTGCATTCCTCTGGGGGCAGGCGCACGTGCGTTCGCACGCGTGTACTCGAGATGCGACCTCCGTAGACACCAGCGGAGCCACCACGAGAAACAGGGAATCCTGAGAAAGATCGACGGGGTGAGGAACGGGGATCGGAGGGCGCGAGGACGAGAGGCGGAGGGAGGGAACCCACGTGGAATATCCAGTGCAGCATGTAAAAGCCCGTTATGCTCGGGACGCGGTGTTAGCGTGGTGCATAGGCGCATATGCATTAGTATGGCGTACGCTATAAATAGATGTAGCAGACCGCAGAGATCCCCAGCCACCCCGTCTCCTCTCGCGTATCAGAATGCACATGGTAGCGTTGCATCGTGGAAGTTTGCCTTCGTTTCTGCGAAAGAAATTTCATTCGCCGGGCTGACCGATTTTTTCCGATACCTCTTGACGATTCAGTAGCAATCATTGCGGAGTTAGAGGCTTTTCACGTATTGAGAATAAATGTCGCTACATTGAGGATATAATGTTTTCATATTTGGAATAGAAAGCTGCAATTGAATTATCGCATTATTGAAGTAATAAGATATTGGTATATCGTTTGTTTTCGTTTGTTCTTGTCTGTAGAGTTTTTCAGAGAAAGGAACGGGCGAGTTGAATGATACGGGCAAACAGGTTTAGAAGCGATTTGTTGCTTGAGTCGTGTTTATTGGGAATATTGGAAAACTGTTTCTTTGAAATATGATACTCGTACTTCGTAAATGTTGAAGAGGGTTCAGAATATAACCTCAGAATGATGGAAGATAGAAAGAAGGTTGTTCAAGAAAATCAAATGGATTCAAACAATAGGTAGGACCTCAACAAACTGAGATGCTATTTTTCGCATCCGGAATCAATCGAACTCTTAACTCCTTACGAACTCACTAATACAAACTAATAAATACACTCGTACTCTACAAACAAATCAACTCCCAATAAACCTACTCCACCGTACGGCCTCCAAAAAACAAAGACGACGAAGTAAAAAAACAAACCAGTCAATTGGAACACTATCTCCGGTGTCAGAAACAGGGTATCAATTAAAATTCAAATCGAAAATTCGCGTGGGCGTGCAACGAAGATTAGAAGATCGCTCGCCAGTGAAAACGGCCTGACCAAGTTCGGCTAATCTATATTGGCTGCAGGAGACCGTCCTGGTAAAAATCGGTGTCCTCGAACCGGCCAGCAAGTGAGCGAGCCTGTCCGAGCGTTAATAAGGCGTCGATATAACGCCGGCCTGCAATTTAAAACACCATTTTCGCGACGCAGGCCGTTATGAGATACCGGTATACCGGCCCAATCCGGGCACAAGCAGCTTCTGTTTTCGGCAATGAGGATGTCAGACAAGTTACGACACGGCCAGCAGGTGTTTGCGGGGAGAGCCTGCCGGGACCCCTCCACCGCTTCCTCCTCTTCTTTTTTCTCCCCTCCTCCCCCCTCTCTCTTTCTCTCTCCCTCTCCCGCTCACCCCGTTCATTTTTCATTTTTTCCTTTGATTCTTTTGAAACGGACCGGCTGCACACACGTCGCACGCAGCTACCGTTCAACCTTTGTTGTATCGGGTCGACGATCGATTCGGGGACCAATTACAAGATCCTGTTGGCCGTTCGCTGTTCACCGCGTGGTCCCCGGATGGTGGGTACGTAAAACGATTCACGGCTATTGACTTCTTTTCTTATGGGACGATTCGAATGGTTTTCGGAGGAAAAAGGGCTTGATTTTATTGCGATTGTTCTTTATGAGCGTTCTCGGTATGAGTTTAATTTTCTTGGATTGTTGATTTCGATCGCAGGTTTCGTTGTCGGCGGAAGAGAGTACAGTTCGGAACGATTTTTACGAGTGTACGGGAGACCGGGGAGAAAAGTATCTGAGATAAATTGTTATGAGGGTTAACATTCTCGCTTAATCAGTGAATTTTACCATTAATGGGTTGAGTGCTTGCTTTTTTGGGAGACTCGTTGAATTACCTGGTTATGGCTTTATGAAAATCTGTGTATGTAAAGGCATTGACTGCTGAAACGGCGTTCATAAATATTCTGCAAAATCGAGACCATGTATTTCATGGATTGGGCACTGGGAAATTAAGATTTATCGTAGTGATTAATCTTTTAGTCTCGTGAATTATTATTGGTTCAAGATATACAGTGCCGATAGAACAGTACAATTACTTTCGCAATTGGGTATGTATATTTGGATATCAGAGAATTAAATGTTAAATGTAGTTGTAAATATTGCGGGTAGATAATTAAGATAAAAAAATCTAGTTGAATATTAAAATTAAAAAAAGACTTGTTTCACGAGTCGTTCAAACCAGATATTAGATAAATTTAATTCGACACTTTAAAGAATTTTAATGAGCTAGAGCTTGACTGCCAACGTGTTAAAACACCTACTGAGAATTAATAAAAATATTCTCAATCAAAAAGTTATAGTTATTCTATACAATACTTCTCATATTAGGCAACTTTATTTTATTGAGTATATACATAATTCTAATATTCTTAACAATATTAATAATTAATATAACGATATTAATAGAATGTTGATAATTAATGACAATATTAAAACAATATTAATGATTCGTATAACATTATTACCAATAATATTAATATTAATAGAATCTCAGCAACATCTAATATCACACAAAAGCATTCATATGTAATATTCTAATATTCTCAACAATATTAATAATTCATATGA